CTAAATGCTCTAGATTGAGAAGAATCATTTCAGAAGCTAAATGCTCTAGATTGAGAAGAATCAGATAATCCCAAAGTTACAGACGTGGAGGTCGCTGGACTTTGGTTTGGACCTTTTGCTCTCAGGTTGCCCAATAAATGGCAGCTTGAGACGACCACGTGTTTGCTATGTTATGCTTTCTTTGATGACATCTTAATGTGGAAGGCATGTTTCTGCCTTTGGGAATGACCATTATTGAACGATTTGCCTTATCTTCAATCCTCATTGTTTTTGTAAATAGTATCCAGCCACTTGAGTTTTTTATCTATATAGCTCAACAACCCCTGTATTTTTATCTAAAAAGCTGTCCTATGCATGCATATTTTACCTTTCTAAATAGCATTAGAAATTCTATATCATTGGCTAGATTAATGATACTATCAGTAGAATTACCATATGCCCTATACGGATGATGTATAATGTTCTCCAGTAAAAGGATAATGATGTCTCTAAAGTGATGTCTCTAAAAATAAGATTGAAGTTGTCAAGGAATTTGTCTTGCTTGGATCCACAATCAGTACTCATGAATGCAGCAAAGAGATCAAGTGACACATTGCACGTGGTAAATCCGCTGCACAAAACCTCTTTAAAGTGTTGAAAAGCAAGGATGTTACTCTGAGGACTCATGTGCACTTGATCCAAGCTGTGGTATTTTCAATTGCATCATAGGCATATGAAATGTGGACATTGAATAAGGAAGACAAAAGAATAATTAATGCATTTGAATTATGGTGCTGGAATATTGACAGAACAAACATTCTGTCTTGAAAGGAGTACAGTTAGAATGATCCTTAGGGGCAAGGATGGCAATAGTTGATTTTACTGACTTTGGACATGTTGTTAAGAGAAACCAGTCCCTGGAGTAGGACGTCATACTTGGTAAAGTAGCAGAACAGTGAAAAAGAGGAAGATCTTCAACAAGACTGATACAATGGTTGCACGGATGGGTTCAAACAATTGTGAGAGTGACACTGGACTGGGCAGTGTCTTGTTCTGTTGTGCATAGAGTTGCTATGAAACTGAACTGACTGGACAGCACCAGGCACCAAGAGCAACAAAGTGGGCAGGGACATCTATAAACCATAGATGGATAGATTTTGAGCTCCCATTTAATTGTAGCCCTAATGTAAGAACAATTGATTCTTATGACGTGAACCTACTCTATAGCTCCCCTCATAAAGAAATCACCAAAAATGTGGGTGCTATAGCAGAGTGTGGTGAAGAAATTGGATAGTGCTCAGCTATCAGAAGGAATAGCACCTGGGATCTTAAAGGCTTGTCTTAAAACAATCATTGATCTAAAAGAGATGGCAACTAAATCCACATGATCTAAAAGAGATGACAACTAACTAAATGCACACCAACCTGAGTGATCCAAGGATTGTAAATAATAAAATCCAAATCTGGAGGAGGGACTGGTATGAGAGTTTAAATTTTGAGCCTTGGGTTTGCAGAAGGCTACTGATGACAGTGGAAGCCCAAAATCCATTTGTGGGTCTCCACATGGTTTAAGCCTCCAGTGAATTCCCTCTGACCATTGACCAAGGACAAGGTTAGCCTTGCTATCAGACAGAGTGCATTGGAAAGTGGACCAGTGCAGATGTAGTTATGTTAAAATGTAATATGTTATTATTTGTTCTCCTATTTGACCAATTTTAATTGTTTTCTGTTATCTTTTCACCTGAGGTTTTTCTATATTTTATTTTGTTGTCATTTTTGTATGTTTTACTCTATGTAAAATCCATGATAGGAAAAAAAATCCATGATAGGTAAATCTATAGACACAGCAACTGGTTTAATAGTTTCTTCGGGTTATGGCAGGAGAGTTTTGGGGAAATGAGAACTAACAATGATCAGTACTAGAAAAAAAGAAAGTGTTCTAAAATAAATTGTTATGATGATTGCACAACTCTTTTCAATGTGGTAAAATGTATGTTATGTCAAATATATGCCAATAAAACTGTTACAATAATGTGCATCAGGATTAATTTGACAAATTAAAATGTTTTTCCACTAAAATATTACATTCATCTCTGTTATGAATTGAATTGTGTCCCCCAACTCTCCCACCCCCATCCCAGACAAATAAATTGGGATCCTAATCCCTATAC